TTTAAGAGTCTATTGGCAACGAATTTGGTATAGGTACAAGCGCAGATTGAGAGGTTCCATAGTCAATTTTTATCGTTTAAGGTTGGAAACAGTCTAGTTAGCTCAAAATCGATCATAAGCACCGAAGAAGAAAAGCAGAAAAAATAGTACGACTCTTAAATGGCCACTGGGGGACCAATTGTACTAGGCTTTCGATGGAAATGCAAGGCAAAGGCCCAAAACTGTACAAATCATGTTGCATCAGAAATCACAATTTCCACTTAGATTTATTCTTTAAAAATATCTAAAAGATATATAAAAACGAATATAATTTTGTTTGAGTCTCAAGTATAATAAAAAGTAAGATTCAACTTTATTGATATAAATACACAAATATCGAATATAATCAAGTTAATTTGAACATCAATAATATCAATATTAAAAAAATACATAAATCATAGTATTAATTAGAAAAACTAGCCCATAGGCTTTGTTGTTAGTTGTTACTATCCTCCAAATTCCAACTGGCTGTCGGTGCACCCACTAGCCTATACTTTTTCATGTTTTAGCATGTACATAATTGACATTTATTCCCGTAATTTTTTCTATAAAAACAGTACTCTTCACTAATCAAACTCAAATAGAGTATAGGATAATTACTATTCATAACTTTACTTCAAAATATTGATCACGTGAAAAGAGACAACATCAAATGTGAGGGAACATGGATTTTGTCACACTAGCAGTATCTTATTTTCTAATATAGTAATCATATGAGATATTAACTGATTAGTTTTATTATGGGACCGAGTTAAGAATAGGTTTGTGAATTACCGGGATTAAAAGAGGCATTGTTGCTGAGGATACCAGAGAATACTTCCCATTTGTTCATATAACGAGTTGATCCATGAGTTGATTTGGATCTATCCAAGCATGATTTGATATCATTGCACCACCCACCACCCTATTAATGAATTCAATAAGAAATTAATTAAAACTTTGTCCGTCCACGATACTTCTTGGACTAAATTAACCCAAGATAATGCATCTTTGATTTTGCCTCAAAACAAACACACAAAAACCAATTATAGTATCATAATACTTAAGTTCTAACTACGATACTTCCTTAATTTGAATGAAACTTTATAACCGGCCTATATCAACTTTCTTGTTATAATTCAAATAAAAATTACTTTCTTAAATTTCGTATCAAATCTAATTAAAAAGAAAAGAATTAAAACGAGGGAACAATATTGTTGTCTGTTCTGAGAATTTGAGCGGTATAATAATAGCTAGAAATTTGTATTGGGATACTGGCAACGGTGATAGACGTGTCTATTTCAACACAGTTCATAGGAAATGTCGTGGTCCTAGTAAAAGTCTACTAAGTACTTATAACACTATATAACAATTAAATAAAAGAAAAACAATCCTTCTAAGTTTCAATTTGATTGTACATCTACTTTTTAATCTTATAAATTTCGTATCAAATTAATAGAACAAATATCGTAACCGAGAGAGTATTAGGTAATGTGATAAAATTGACTTTCTTGTGTGGTCCATACTCAAGTTGTCATGTACAGTAAAAGAATGGGCATCATGCGCCCAACTGGATTGGAGTAACATGTATTTAAGCCGCCTTTTAAAAACTAATTGAAAGGATAAGCTTAGCATTATTATCCTAATCTATATAACTACATACTCCGTAACAATTATTGAGAAAGTGAAATTGGAAAAATTGAAAGAGATAATAGGGTCCCTTTTTTGATAAATGGACAAATATGTTTACTTTTGGACACACCATATCCTTTTGTTCTTTTCAGGTTTGATGATTCATAAGTAGTAGTAGTAGTAGTAGAATCTTCCCACGCCTACACTATTTACATATTTTGAACTGGGCCAAAAAAACGCAGCTAAAAGAAGAAATATGGGATACCATCGATATAAAAATTTTAATAATTTAATTAGTTGATTATATGAAATTTTATATTATTGATCGGATTAAAAAAAGGCCCAGAATAACATTTTGCATTAGTACATCATAAATGCTTCTGTCACACATCCCCGTTATTTTGGGACACCATACTTTGTTCCTCGACAAATACCAAATTTAGTACTTATAATAATTTTAAATTTTATAATATTAAATTAAAAATATGTTAAATATAATTTTAAATAATTTATAATTTAAAATTGTTAAAAAAGGAAACCCATCATAAAGAAAATTAACAAACATGAAGTGAGATCAGCAGAATGAAAATAAAATAAGATGGATTTCAGTTTCTCAAGAAAAACAGCATTAAGGTCGTTTCCTAACTTCCAAGAAAAACAAGCGTCAAAACGTGTCTAAACCGAAACAATTATGATCTATTTTTAGTCAACAATAAATATAGAGAGACCCTGTACTTTTTTATTTCTCACCAATAAGTTCGGGCATTTGTTGAAGTTTACTTTATGATTTCCAACTGTGACATCATATATTAGTAATGAATTTTGAATTTATATACTTCCTCCGTGAGATAGTATATAATTTTTTTAGGAAAAAGACTTTTAAAATTTTTGATTCAAAATGAATTACATATATTTATATGGCTAAAAATTTATTTCATTAAGGATAAAATAGATATGTTAAAGTTATTGAAGGGTGTGTTTGGTATGAAGGAAAATGTTTTCCTGGAAAACAAGTAAATTTTGGACTTATTTTCTCATTTTTAATTGGTGAGTAGAAACTATTTTCCGAAAATGATTTTTAGTGTTTGATTATGAATGAAAAATGTTTTTGAATTTTGAGGAACATCTTTTATTTTTACTAGAGTAGAAAATAATTTATGAAATTGAAATATTTTTTTAAAATAATTTTTTTTTGGGAGGGGGTGTTAGTAGAGGTGGGGGCAGAGGAGGGGGGTTGGAGTGAAAAAATAAAAATTTAAAGTTGATAGTATTTTTAAAAAGCAAAATTAGTTTTTTGGGGGTTGGGGTTGGAGGGCTGGTAGGGGTGGGTGGGGGCTGGCCAGGGGGAGGCAGGAGTTTAAAAATAAAATTTTGAAGTTGAAAATATTTTTAAAAAAGCAAAATTAAATTTTTGGGGGAGGGGGGTTGGGGCGAAGGTAGTCAAGGATCGGGTAAAAAATAAAAATTGAAAATATTTTTTAAAAAATTAATGTTTTTCCCAAAAAAAAGTAATTTGAAATTGAAGGAGAGCTTTGGAAAATATTTTTGGGAAGTCATTTTCCTTAATTTTGAGAAAAATAAATTGATTTGAAAAATATTTTCCAAGACTTTTGCCCCAACTAATCATGAGAAAATTGGACAACATTTCCTTCATACCAAACACACTCTTAATATAGAAATATGTCATTTATTACTACTAACTAAAAAGAAAAGTAAATCACATAAATTACAACAGAGAATGTATATATAATAAGTTTCTCATCAATAATTATTATCCATCAAGGATATCTAATCTCACAAATAGGATATACAGGGATACAGGCAGATTTTATAACTCGCATTCATGTTACTTATTATCTATTACTATTAATTTGGTATTTATTGGGGCTTCAATAATTCAAATTCGTGTAGAATAGAGCTCATTTGAGTTTCTATCAAAGATTTTTTTCACACACTCAAATCAAAAACTCCAATTAAAAAAAAATTATATTAGCAATTTTGAATAATTCAAATTCGTGTAAAATAGAACTCATTCGAGTTTCTATCCCAAAAAAAAAAAAATCATACACTTGAATCAAGAGCTCTAATTGTATTAGCTATTTTTTGGGATGAGAGAGAAGTAATTTTTTTTCAGTGTAAAGAAAGGTTGCAAGCACGTTGATTGACAAGTAGTGAGAAAAGCAAGCAAGCAAAGCAAAGAAGTGTGTAACTACTCATTCAACAACTCTATCAGAATCTTTCTTCCCAACAAAAAACACCAGAAGGAATTTACTTGCCTCAAATTGCAAAAGCCAGTTGTCTACTCCAGCTCCAAATCCACGGTGCAGGTGATACGCCGGTAAACTTCCATCCAAGCAATCTGCAAAATCAATAAGCAAATATTCAACAAGTCCATGAACTGCTTTTGGTAGAGAAATTATTTAAATCAGAAGCGTTTACATACATGCTCCTAAAGCAGTAGCGTTTTGAACCAGAGTCATGTTGACCAGTAGGCGATTCTGTTCTCCTTTCGAGTTAACCAGCCATGGCCAGAATATGAACAGAACAAATTTCAACCCCGAAATTGAATTCACATTCATTTTTACTCTTCTCTGAGACGGAAATGTCAAAGTAAAATTCACGGAGAAATTAATTTTAGGTATTCTATCAGAGAGAGAATCTGAAGATTGTTGTTTAAGATGAATGGAGGAATGAGATTCTCGTTGGAGTAAACAAGTGAAACAAATCTGGAAAAATAGCAACAAAATTAGGGAGAGGCGAGCAGTGAGGATTTGAAGATTCAACAAATAGAAAAGATGTGACTTATGAAGGGGGATTTCCCGAGGGAGGGGACGGAAATGGGAATGTCTTATTTATGGTTTCAAGGGCAATTTGGTGTGGAAATAGAATACACAAAGTTACAAAAGAAATTAACATAATTTGTTTGATCACTTACTTTTATGATAAGAAAAGAGATAATGCATAAGTACCTTCTTATATTTGAAATTTCATAAATACACTTATATTATATTATATTAAGGTTTTATTATCTTCTGAACTAATTTTATAAATAATTTTCTATCCTTTTCGATCTGCATAGTACTAGCTTGAAAAAAAAAAGTCAAAAACAAATAGAAAATTACTTATAAAATAAGTTCAAGAGGGTAATAGAACCTTAGTATAGTATAAATGTGTCTCGAAAATTTCGGGCATAGATTGAGGGGATACTCGTGCATTTTCTCGTAAGAAAAAAAACTACCTAATTGTTTACTTCCTTCATTTAATAATAGTAATAGATTTTATTTTAAATTATTATTTTTCAACACATATGAAGATTCTTTTCCTATTTTATCGTCAATATTAATTATTAAAAATCCTTATATCATTTACTTTTAATTAATATAGGACATCATGATAAGATACTCATATTAATTACTATTTTTATAGAGGTGCAACGTTCAAAATGGACAAATAAAAATGAGCAAGAATAATATCCATTTGTTCCTAATTACTTTTTTTCCTTTAAATTGACACACTTATTAAGAAAATATTTATTGACATAGTGAATTTACCATTTTACCCCTATTAGTCATGAACTGCATGAATTGAAAACTTAATTTCAAGAAGTTTAACTTTTTTTATAATAATTAATTGAGATTAAAATAGTTAAAAGAAATTGTTCTTTCTTGATTTGTAAAATGAACAAGTAATTAGGGACAAATAAAAAAAAAGTAGACAAGTAATTAGAAACTGAGGAATTAATATATACACTCCGTTCCATATTAGTTTATTACCTTACTAAAAAGAGTTGCCTAATGTTAGTTAATCACCTTACATAATCAAGAAAGTATTAATTAAACTTTTCTTGTATTACCTTGTAGTATTCTTTTTTAAGTTGTTCACATTTGTTTGTAAAAATTTTAAGAAGCTTTTGAAAGAGCGAAATAGTAAATTATCTTCTTATTTATGATTTCTTAATATGCATGTAAAAAACAAGTGATCAACAAATATCAGATGGAGTGAATAATACTTTAGCTATTTTTAAGGGCAAAACATATCGTTAAACATTTAAACTTATCAGTATATTTTATTTACATATTCAAACTATTACATGCTTTAATTGAACATGTGATTAAATGTTTATTTTAGGCACTCTTTACTTAGATTTAAGGGTTAACAATTTATAAAAGGTTATATGTAACATTAAAGAAAATGACATATTTTAAATTGTTAATTTATTCATAAAAATGAATACTTTGAGAACACACCTATAACTTTTACAAAATTTAAGCTGAAAGTGATTAATTGCAATATTTTGCTATCATATATTTATATGCTCAATTCAAATAAATGTTGATTTGAGTGTCTAACTATAATATGATAGACAAATTAAGCGACTAATTTTGTGTGTTTTATTCTACTTTATAGTTCATATTAGATTAGTATATCAATTTCTAAATAATTTATATAAAATATATTTTATGCAAATAACAATTAAATATTACATTTTGTTAATGCTACAGTGTGAGCAAAATATCAAAAAGACAATCAAACATTTTATTATTAATGTTTGATGCCCCTTTTATTTTACTAAATTTTGAATTTATGTCAAAACGCTAAATCATAAAATAAAATAATAAGTATGTTATTAAAAACACTAAATTAATCGTAAAGAAGTGACATTTAGAAGATGACAACAAGCTCATCGCGAATCAGCCAATAAGGGAATAGTGAATTAACTAACAACTTGAGGTAATCAATATGGATTTATGGTGCAGTGGAGGACTGTTTCATTCTTAATTAGAAATTTCGAATTTGAATTTTGATATAAAAGAATTTATTTGAAGTGTCATTTCTTTTAATGAACCTTGCAATATGTAATCTAAATTTAATTAAAATTCTAACGTGAACATTATATTACGAAAAAACAGCTTGAGGTGGTGGGGTTGGCTTCAATTGCAATTGACAGGTGATAATGAGATTGATAAGTGTGGGCGGGACTAACTTTTGGTTATTGTTAAGTAAGGAGCAAGCTATATCTTATCATTGAGTTTTTTTGAGCTAAATTTACTCTCTTTTCTAACTTTTCTTTTTCCTTGTCCATTCTTAATAATGAAATTAAATCATTGCACGTGGGACACCACTTAGGACAAAAAATAACATGTAGAATGACATGTATTTCTATTTGTTCAATTTTGTAAAGTTTAAGTGTCTACTCATGCACACCCAAAGTTGAAGGGCATATATGTGATTTGAATTCAAGTTAAAGGGCATATTTATGTATTATGTCGTATATAAATATACTCTTTAATTTGTTTTCGAATCATCTTTATGTCCTTCAATTTTGGGTGTGCACAAGTAAACACTTAAATTTATATAAAATTAAACAAATAGAAACATTTAAATTTATATAAATAAGACGAATACTATTTGTTACTTAAATAATTTGATTTCTAACTTTTGTTTTTCAAATGAGTTTATCTTTAATTTTTTCCTTAGCAAGCAAACTTATGTCTACTGAGTATAAGCTCTTTGGACTGACATAACTTATAAAATATTATGATGCAAAAACATACTTATCAAATAAAAAGAAGAAAAATTGAAAATATTTTGATAAGATCTTTCATAAGTAAATTTAAATCGCATATTAACTCAGTCTTTAAAAAATGAAAAAAATTAATTTATAAGTGGACGAATCAATAATCCATATAAATTTCGCGAATTCAAAAATTATATTGACACCTGTAATCTATAGTTAAATGCAAAAATGTCAATCCAATGTAAAGAAAAAAAGAATAATTCTAAATTGTTTGAACTTAAATTGGCCAAAAAGTCCAAAATATATAAGTTGCTTATAATTCATCTACAAAAATTAATGCTCCTAAGAAAAAATTGTTGACATTATTAGTTGTTAGGTATTACTATTAATAATAATTAGAATGATCATTTAAAGTTGTAACAACTTGCTTTTCTTGGTAATTTCGTCATTATCCGTTACTATATTAAAATAGACAACGCCAAAATTCATTTACTGTGTTAGCTAATCAGATATAAGATTGAAATGATTTGTTCAATTTCAACATCATAGTCCACGTATTTAGTAATATGATTTATGAATTAATTAATTTAATTGCGTATCCAAATGTAACTGCAACTCTTCTATCATTTTTCTTTAAAAATTGAAAGGCACAATGATTAAAGTGTCAATTTTCTGTTAATAGTTAGGATCAAATATATCATCGTTATTAATTACTCAAATTAAATGAGAAATTAAGCAAATATCTTATTGTACCATAATTTCCATCACTATTCAATTTTTGATTAATTTATAAATTCAAAATTACCAAATTTTGATGTGAATTTCAAAATACAATTCCAAATATCTAGAAATATAATTAACAAATTTAAAAACTACCAAAAAGATATCACAATTCACAATAAGTTAGTAATTTAAAATAGGGCTAGTTTTAAATATATAAAATGAACTTATTAATTTATAAGAAATATAATCATATTTTATTTACATGTAAAAATACCAAAAGTCGTAAAATATATATAATAAGTATATATTCAAACACACCAAAAAAGTCGAATATGTTTGAATCAAGCTCATAAGACTATAATCATAAAGAGAAGAGGGTAAGAGAAGTAGATATAAGAAGAGGAGTTTTCTTCTTATTCAAGTGTATTCAACAAAAGGTTAATAATATCTCTAGGAGTTCGGAGCCTAAAAGATACAAAATATTAACAATAATTCCAAAACGGTATATAAAATTTTATATTAACCAAAACGGTAAAGATCGCTGCACCAACAGCGACTTACCCCACCGGAAAAGGCAAAATCGCTGCCTCTGCAGCGATTTTGCAAAATGTCTAAGCAGCGATTTATAGAAAAAAATTAAAAAAATAAGAAAATCGCTGCCCAGTAGCGATTTCAAAAAAAAAATTAAGAAAATCGCTGTAGGGGTAGCGATTTCAAAAAAAAAATCGCTGCTTTGGCAGCGATTTTGTTAAATTTTTTTTGAAATCGCTGACTCAGCAACGATTTCCTTATTTTTTAATTTTTTTTTTTAAAAAAAAATCGCTGTTAGGGAGCGATTTCTTTATCTTTTAATTTTTTATCTTTTTTTTAATTTCCTTATTTTTTAATTTTTTTTATAAACTGCTGCTTAGGCAGCGATTTCATGAAGAAAGCAAATGGACAATCCACTGTTCCATAAATTTATAACAGAATATAAATTATACATTAATTATATACTAACTATGCATTGTACTTAATACATTAAATAATGAAATATAATTTAACTAAAAATACAAAGTATTCACGAATAATCCATGAAATATACATTGACTATCATTTCTGATCAATTCAAAATCTCCTTTATACTGTCTCAAATTTTAGATTTGAGATCATCTCGATGTTTTGAGTCTTTTGATATATAATTTGCTCAAAACGATTAATATTTATAATATATCAAATTTTAAAGAAGATGAGAGAGGAGGACGAAACAGCAACAAAAGCAAAGAAGGAGATTTGAAAATCAAGTTTTTGTAAATACGTGGTTTTGTTACAAAAGATTAATTACGTATCGAAGAGTCTAAATTTGAAATTGTAGGTGATTTATTGTAGTTTCTAAGGACATCTCCAACCCAAACATTAAATTTTACACCAAATTTGGTGTCATCACTATTTTCTATGTAATCAACTCCAACTTACTGCATCGAACTTTACATCATAAAGAGATATTTCTATCTCTCTTTATTATTATATTATTATTTCATATATTAGTTACTTATTTCATAAAACAAATTCTTTCTAAAACATTTACCATATATAATTCATATTATTATCTTTTATAATCGTTTAATATAAATTTATTTTGTACCATAAAATTTTAAATAATATAAATTGCTAACAAATATTATACATTATGCACAATGAATAATACAAATAAAAGTGAAATAATGAATGAAATACAATAAAATAAACATTACATAATTAAAAAAATTATTTTAAATTCTAAATAAATATTCAACTTTCAAAATTACCACGGTGTTCCCATAAATGCTTTATTAATGCATTACGTAGTACAAAATGAGCTTCTTTGTCCTTTATTTTTCTCTCTAGAGCTAGAAATTGATAATTTTCATCTATTGTCATTTACACAGTCGAAATTGAACTTTCGACGCATCTTGAATTAGTGCATTAAAATCATGTACATCCTCAATTATTATGTTGTGCATTATAATAAATGAAGTTGATATATCATGTAGCACTTCTTAATTTTTTTAAAAAGTCGTATATAGAAAAATTAATTTATAAAAAACTTAATTTTATATCTAAAATTAATATTATAAAAATATTGCATAAAAAATAATTAAACATACAAGAAATTTAATTAAACCATACAATTTATATAATGTTTAATTAAAAATTTATATAAAAAATAATGTTAAAATATTTAAAAAGTGAATTTGTTTGATGAATAGTGTTATATCAAATTTATTGTAATAGTATTCACATATCAAATTTGATATAAAAATCAATGTGAATTAAAGCTCAAACATTAAATTTTACACTAAATATAAGATTTGATATAAAAGTTAATGTTGGATTGGAGATGGTCTAAAGTGGATGAATTTGGTGTTTGCATCAAGTAAAAAAGAGGAAGTCTTTTTTTTTTGTTTGATAAACAATGTTTAACACCTCAATATCTTTTATAATTTTGTATAACGTTATATATTAGAAGTATCATATTGTATATCAAGTTTTAAATTAATTTTTATTTGTCATGAAAAAATTGAATATTATTTTATTCCGAATATAAAATACTGTTTATTAAATTGAATTTTGGACTAAAGATCAATAATTTATGTTTTGAATTATATTTTTAGGATATAAGTTTGATAGTTATATATTCTCTCTGTTCGTATTTAGTTGTCCACTTTAGAAGTGACACACATATTAAGACATCAATTATTATCATAGATTAGTTATAGTTTTACCCTTTACTTAAAAGATTACGCAACTCCTAAGTATAATAAATGTATTTTTTTATTCCAAAAAACATGCATTACAACTTAATAGTACTAAAAATTTTCTACATTTTGTAAAATAGACAAGTAATATATTTTTCTGAAGTTTCTGTGATCTTTTTCTGTGTAAAATTTCTCATTTCTGTGTGTTATCTTCGTTCTCTTTGTTTCTATATATATGCATTCTATGTATGAAAATTTCTGCGTAATCGTATTCACAAGTACAAGGAATATCGTCGCCTTAATTTAATGTGATAATGATTTGTACTTTGGAGCTGCATTTGCAATTAGTTATCATGCTGATCTTTCATTCTTGAAAATTAGTGTACTTGTTGCTTGTATAATGGGAGGATGATGTTGAGTTTGATTTTAAATTGTAAGGAGTTGAATTTGGCGTGAGACATAAGTTATAATAACCTAAAATGAAGCACTATTTATCCCACCATTTATACCTTAGTGATAGCGGAATAATTTATCCATGATAACTTGTTCTCAACCGAATGATAGTTGTTCAGCCAGTATTGTATTGTATAGTTACCAAAGGAATTGATAGTTTTAGGCTTAAATATTGTTTGATTTTTAGTGATAAAAAAAATGGTTGATGATTTTTGAAAAATAAGTCAAATTATAGCAGAGTTAAAAAAAAAAAAAGAAACTAAAAAAAACTTCATTAGTTCTTTTCTTGTCTAAGCCTGGGTGTATGGAGTCGCATGGTATCTGTGTTGCTGGAAAGTTATAGGTACCCGGTGAATTAATCAAGGTGTGTGCAAGTTAGTCCTAACTGTTGGGTTATCCCACATCGAAAGTAGAAGGGGCTGGTGGTCAATTTATAAGTGTGAGGGAAAGCCTCAACCTTTGAGCTAGCTTTTGGATTGAGAAGGTCCAAGACCACCCACCAAATTGTTGTATAACAAGTCTCAGCCCAAGGCCCGATGGGGAGATTGTTGGGTTATCTGGCCCGATGGGGAGATTGTTGGGTTATCTCACATCGGAAGTGGAAGGGGGCTGGTGGTCAATTTATAAGTGTGAGGGAAAACTCAACCTTTGAGCTAGAAAAGGACCAAGACCACTCAACACTAATATTAAATAAATAATTTATACTCAAGTACCTGTTGAAGTCTCTCATACATGATCCTTTCAAGTGTTAGTTTCACATCATCACGTTTGGACCTACGTTTCTATATTAGAACATATTCTAACTGATCTCTAGCTGTTATTCATGGGATTGTAAGAAATTTGTATCCCTCTCCGGATTTTACTTTGATCGCCACAAAATGAACATATGCTTTCAATTTTCTATGATGAAAAATCAGCCTCTCTCAATATTGGGTTTAAATTGAGAGTTTCAAGAAGGAAATTTGTGGGTATCACATATGCTATATAATTTAACAACTTATAGACCATTGCCGTTGAACTGTTCTTTTTTGCGTTAGTGATTTTATTTGCAACAGAAGCTATTAAAAATAAAAAAACAGTAGTTTTTTGTGCGTCTCTAATATAGTTTTTTCTGTCTGTGATGCACTAATATATAAAAAAAAAATGTTAACCACCGCGCTGGAGGAGTCTGACCTTTAGATTAGGAAGTTGGGGCAAAGTTTCTTGTTACAAAGATGACATACTGCAATCCTTTTCTGATGATGCATTCAGCGTTCACCGTTCAGAGTGGTAGCTGTAACTCAGACTTCAATTGATGAAATATTCGATGTTTGGTTCAGTTTCCCAGCAACAAATTTGAATTTTTTCAGGTTTTGTGGCTTAAGTTACTTCCTTTCTACTAGTATGTTAGTACAGTACCATTGTATACCTGAGGATTTCAGACTTATTTGCTACCCATGTCTGAGCCATTTCCATTTGATTCCAGATATATGTGTTCTTCCCGGAGGAGCCAAAGGTTGGTGTTAAGACCATGGAAACTTATACAGAGCGCGCATGAAAAAAGAAGATGTCTTCCAAGCAGTCCTGATTGTACAACAAAATCTAACTCCCTTTGCTCGTACCTGCATAAGTGAAATATCTACAAAGTTCCACTTGGAGGTTTTCCAGGTTACTCAACTATTTTTACTATTTAGTTTGTTCTTACTACTTGAACGAAGGATTGAAATTGTTATGAAATAGCTAAGGAGCTTAGTTTATTTCGTGATCATTTTATTTTTTGGTTTTTTTGTTGTTTGATTTCTTTGATTTTGGTCTGATAGGACCACCAAAATCTGAGAGCCTTTCCATTGATGACATTTTCAAGCTTCCGAAGTATATATGTTCAAATTTTTCTAGAATTAGAATAAAGTGCAAAGTCAATTGTCAAGTGTAAGAATCTACTTCCTACTATGATGCAGACATATCCAAGATGCCTTGCAGGCATATCAGGTTGCCAAGTCCGCGCCATGGCCAGAAAGTAGTGAAAAGGAGAGAGGTTGTTCAGGGATGAGAGTGCCTCATTTAGTGAATTCTAATTCTAATACAAAGCTAAAATGATAATAGAATCCACAGCTCTCTTTCAAGTATATAAGTTAATAAACTAGCTTATATGCCATTATGGATTAATCCAGGCTAGATAACATGTACTTGACTTCATAATCCACAAGAGAATGGCTTAAGACTATTATACATCATATGAACAAATCAACGCTCTGTTATTTGTTTGATTTGGAAAATCAGGGAGTTCGCTTGGCTTCCAATATGCACATTTACACGTTTAGTTGCTTTAAGTGATTGATAGTTATATTTTTGTCTTAGAATGCTTTTTTCTTCTTAATCATCAAGATAAGTGATTAATGTTTCAGGAGGCAAAGATGTTGGTAAACATAAAAAAACATGTTCTAATTCCTGAGCACCAGACATTTACTCTTGAAGAAAAGAAGACCTTGTTGGAAAGATATACTGCGAGGTTCGTCTTTGTAATATTATTTCACTTGCTAAAGTTTTCACCTCATATAATACACTAAATACCAGAAGACATGTGATGCATGCATAATGTTGAAGGCATTTTTATTGAGCTAGTGCAGTGGAGGTCAAGAGTGAAAGAATGGAGTAAACTAGAAATATTATGGGCTAAATACCTGCATACATTGTTGATCATCACAGTCATGGCCTTGTTATCTTCTGCTTCGTCCTTTTGGCTGATCGTTTTGTATCTACCTATCATCTTGGTTCCATTGCCATTGTTTTGAATTTTATGCTATTTAGATAGGCAAGATTGATAACTACACTACCTGATTGCTAAAACAGCTTCCTCGGATTCAGATCACCGACCCAATTGCTAGATATTATGGGCTAAAACGTGGCCAAGTCGTGAAAATTATCAGACCAAGTGAGACTGCAGGGCGTTATGTTACTTACCGATATGTGGTCTGAACTAGTTTTTGATGTTTTCACCGGTTGACTGGATAGAACAGTCAAGTAGTGTAGTTAGATATTTGCTTAAGCTTTACCCCCTCAAAAGAGGTGATTTAGAGTCTCGAGTTTTCTCTACCCCATCTAACCATGTAAAAACAGGGACGCTTTACGTTCTTGAAATGATAACCATCTTTTTGTGAACTTACCCTCTTCCTATTGTCTTTGCGTCTACAGCTTTTCCTAATTGCTAGTGTTGTGATGAGTTATCTCTTCCCTCTAATGAAAATGCCAAACTCATCGTCAAATCATCCCCAATTATATCATGTTCTATCATTAACACATTATATTAATCATTTGGTGTGTATTTAAGCATAAAAAGATTTTAAACATGATAAAATTCAAGGGAGCGCTAAATTTTATGCAAGTATAAATGCATAATATACAAGCTAATGTGACAGTTGATCACCATTTTAAATTTAATTGAGATTTCTTGTTCATTGTCTATTTATGGATTCCATTGTTTAACTTTGTTGTATTTTGACATAAGCAACATTCCCTTGTTCATCTACACACAAAAGCAATATATATAAAAAAGTTTTTGATAGATTCTAATATTTTGAACGCTTAACGAGAAAATAATCAAATGTCCCTCTAATCTATTACCGAATTTTCAACAATATCGATAAAGAGTTGATTTTTAAAAATTCTTAATTCCATACAGAAATTAGGGTCAAGAGGAATACAAAAATTCTATCAGTGGTGGCAAAGACATAAAAATGACGGATGATGGACAGATCTGACCACAAAGAAGAAGGAAGAGATTTCTATGAAGAAAAAAGAAAAGAATAAGGAAAAATAATAATAAAATATATATATACATACACAAAAAAATGTTTTACGTTCACTTTCTCAGGAAGAGTGAAATACACTCACTTCGCCAGCATTTAGGGAGATGATAATTTCAATTTTAAAGAATTCAAGGCAGTTATAAACCCTCATAAAATTTAAATGTGTAGTTGAAAATTCGATAATAAATTGGGGGGGCATTTGACCAATTTTCTCAACCCTTACCATCACATAAGGTTACAACAGGTTTTTCCATTTATCTTTTTTTTTTAGCATTTAACCATCTTTTGATGCTATTCCCCTTTAGGGGTACCACGTTAAAATTGAAATAACAAGATATCATGTGAGAGCTAATAAAACAAATGGTGGACAACTATAAATTAAATAACAAAGTATATTGCAAATCTATTTAGTTAGTACTCAACAATTCTTTTTATTTTTGGTCAGGTCCTCATTCTATGCCTTATATAATCTTTGATTGTAAACTTGTAATATATAGAGTGGAACACCTATGCTAATTAGTGGGGCACAACCTCAGGTGCTATTCTACACTTTCCAACACATTGGCAAAGTCCATATACCTATGCTTTTAGCGCTGCCAAATAGGCTCTTAGATTTAGCTTCTTCAATGAGAAAACATGAAAAAGTTATATTACTTAACTCTAGTTTTTTTTCACAATAAGAAAGTGGTAACAGAAACAAGGCTCTACAAGCTCTCATGAGTAACACAGACCATGCAAAACAGCAATCCAGAAGCAGATATACCGCATTATGTAAAAGTGATCTCTTACAAAATCAAAACTGGCTACTGCACATCAACTAGACAGGATGCAAAAATGTTGTCTCGAAACTGTAAGGAGTAAGAAAAACACAGATATGTCCATGAAAATGTATCATACATATGACCGAGCAAGCTATATTGTTGCCCTTCTGCTTTGAGGCCAAATGACTGTTGACACTGAAAATGGCATGATCAAAATGTACAATCTTTTCTCATACTTGCTAAATAAGAGATCATCTTGACAACCATCTGAGGCAAGACACTATCTGTAAATGCAACCAGTGAACATCTTTGTACTTTGTAGAATTCACCAACAATTAGTAACCAACAGAGTTTAATATGACAAATGAAAGAAACAATTCCATTGACAAAACAGTGATTAAGGTATCCCATCAATTAGTTAAAAAGATACTGATGCAATTGAACAAAAAACTCGTAGTGTTATCTGAACAACTTGGTTGAGATAGAATCAAGAATCACAATTGGTTTTCATGTCCCCTTCACCTTCAATCATTCTCAGTGGTACTACCTAGAGGATCACAAATTCACAATGCTATTTAGAAATACTTCCAGAGGATGGCAAAGTCTGGGGTTAGAGTTAGACACAAGAAGTTGATAAGGGCTGACTCACAAGAGCTTAGGGTAATGAGTTATGTATAAAGCTGGGAGAACGAGACTTACAAAACAGAGCATCGAAGTAGTTAGAGGAGATGAAATCTACATATGGCTTCAAAAGTTCATCTCAGCTGATGTTCAATGCTTTGCTAAATGATACAATGCTGAAGGCCTAACCCCTGTTCTCTTCTGCTATAAGGTAAGCTGCATATAAAAAGCAAAGAAAAGTAATTTGGATGAGGCTTTAATTGGTCTGAGTTGGGAACGGTGAAATTCTCTTCATTGAGAGATAGAAGTAGTAAAAAAGCTGTTTGGTGAAGTTAAATCGGCCTCAACCAAGAGTAGCTTAGGAACTGAATAGGATTTGTTAAAACTACAAATCTTGGAAATGGTTATAAGGTTGTTTCAATATCACAAGTAAATGGTCCATAAGAATCCAAAATTGCAAGAGGCTAAACATTTGATTCATGATAATTAACTTCTCACTGATACAACAATTTCCAAGGCCAGATCTTAGTGTACAATACATTCACTGCTTGCTATCAAGGCGCATCCAATATTAGCTCAATCAGACTCCCACTACTTATTTGATTTGCTAGAACCAATTGATAATTTACTGACTGTATCTACATGAAAAGAACACTAAAAACCAGTGCTAATCCATGCTAACATATTAGTAGACGAGAACTGCATTGAACAAATGGAGCAGCAAGACAAAATCACAGCAGGATTAAAGTGATTAAGAAATTTTACGTATACTTCATGACTGCTTCTTTTTTTCCTTCAAATACAAGTAGTTTCTCTGGAAGTCTAAAATTACCCAAATCAAATGCCTTAAACCAATCTCAGGCCATAGTGCAGCAGGAGAATAAAGAAGACAATGTGAACTTTGCCACAAAAGAAAATTGCTTAAACGAGTTGCTCCAGAAGTCCGTATAATAATGTCTGGATCAGGACAAACTGACATGTACATATGTCTGTCAACATTTGTCACACCAATCCGGTGCTCATTCTTGTCCTTCACATTTTCTTCGAGTCTAATTAAATTGCTTCCATCATTATTTACATCTAGTTTTCTAATCTCGTCCCATTTTTCTTCACAAGATTCTTGAACAGCATGGACAATCTCATCTGTTGATGTGTAGGCAACACAAATAGACAATATAGCTTTTGAATTACCTGATGTCTTTACCATAGCCCTCTCGGCGGCTAACCTGACATGGTCACTCAAAAGTTTAAGGTTTCCTTGAAAGTAAATTCTAATACCAAGGCGGTTTACAATGCTCTCCTCTTTTGTTAATTCATCAATTTTTTCCTGCATCAGTTTCATTAGTGATACAACTTCTTCAGGCCTTCGCTTGAAGTTATCAATGCTGAATGCATAAACTGTTATATATTTTACACCAAGCTCGTAACAATATTTTAGCATATTGATAAGAGCTGAAAATCCCGCTCTATGTCCATTCCCATCAAGCAAGTTCTGTTTCTTAGAATATCTACGGTTTCCATCCATGATAAAAGCAATGTGACTAGGAACAGGACCCACACTAAGTATAGAAAATATACATTGGCGAACAAAGCTGCTAATATTTTCACATAAATGCCCCACTTTTTTACCGTTCACACCTTCCATATCAACCCTCGAATTAATACTTGATCATGCTCCAAAATCAACCTAATCAAACATTAGAGAATTTTGTGTCAACTAATCGAATAAAATCAACTTTTTTCTGTCATTAAAAAAAAAACAAATGCAAAACAAGAGAAAATCATCACAGAAAGTAAAATTCGCATCACAAATAAAAATTAGCACAATGAGCTACTTCTTTGTCATGCACTAGACTCTTTTAAATTTCGAATAATGACACCAGGAAGTTTCTTTGAGTTCTACAATAATCCCGAGTTATAGTAACTCAAAACTACTCTTGACTAAGAACCAGTGTTCTTCTTATGACATACACACATCAAATGCAATAACTAGAAATCAGTGAAAATACACAAATAACATATCAAATCCAATAACTAGATTTAGTTCAATACACAAATAACATGTCAACAAAAGTAATGCAAATTAAGACGAAACACTGCTATACATTTTGAGAATAAAAATTCAGATCTGTGAGAGAGTCGGTCAACAGAGAAGCCAAATGCAAAACCAAAACTAAAGAGAACAACCAACCAATAGCATCTAATACTTTAGACAGGATTTAGTGACAGAATAACACTAAAGTAAAAGTAAAGAGCAGTGCAACTTTTGAACTAAACAGTGCACCCTTTGAGTTGTGATCAGAAAACAGTGCCCGGGCTGATGATGTTTAGAGGAATCAACGTCGGGCGGCAGACTCTTCTCCCCGTCTCTCCTCTAACACATGTAGTTTAGAGATAGATCTCTGCTTTTGACCAAAATACAAATACAAATACAAACAAGAGAACTAAATTAAGGGTTTAAATTATGTTTTTTCATTAAAAAATAATTGAAGTCATTTTTATCTATTGAACTTGTTACATCAAATTAGTAATTAGTATAAATATAAATTACAATAATTGAGTTAGGGTTAAGGGGGAGGTGGGATTAATCATAAAGGTAAGAAGCAATTTTCGCCCATAAAGTAAAAATTTACTTAGATTGAGTTATTGAGATTTTTTCCCTTAATAATAACTAACAGGGGCGTTTGTGATTTGGTTTGGATTGGTTATTAATTAGAATCAAAATCAAATCTATCTGGTCAGTTTTTTAAATTTTTAAAATCAAATCAAACCAAACGAAAAAAACAACAATCAATTTGGTTTGGTATTCTTTTGAGGACTTACGTATCTCGATAGATATAAACACTAAGTATATGAACAATCTATAGAAAAACTAGTGTTGATTCAGCCAAGCAACTAAGCAATATTAGAGTTATCATTACACGAACAAAATGATTCATTTAAGAGAAAGTGCGACTATTTTATGTGAAGTATAGTATGTACGAACTAAGATTGATTTTGATGGACTTGGATTTGAGATTGTTATACTTTGGCTAAAGTGTTGGTCTTGAGAAAATGATAAAGTTAAAAACTTAAAAGTTAATTAAAATTTAACAAAATACTTTTAATTTCTTTATGAATTATATATAAATAATTTATAAAATTTATATATCTAATTTGTTGGTTCGAATTTGGTTATTTTTGCAATTATTTTTTAGTAAAATCAAACCAAATCAAATAGTATCGGTTTTCAAAATTTAAGAGCTAAACTTAATAAACTGAACCAAATATCAATTTTTTTTAATCGGTTTGATTCAGATTGCGATTTGATTTGGTTGTTAACCATAATCATGAACAGCCCTAATAACTAGTATGATACGGAAATAAAATTAAAATTAGATTTTTTTAAACTTAAATTTAATACCTCATTCAAATTATCAGATATATTAGATATTATTTTTACAAAAAATTTAACTATTATATTGTTTAATGAAATATACTCCTTCTCTCTCACGTCCCACCCCACTCCCTATACCCAATAATTAATAAATTTATATGAATAAAGATAATGAGTTGTGTTTCAAATTGTTAATATTGATCTTTTATTATTTTATCATTTGGTTTAATATAATTATCAAGTTCTCTACTTATATCTCAATAAAAATAAAAGCTAGTTATTTTGTTTACTGAGAATTTATAAAAATTTGAATTTTTATTTTATTATTCAATTTCCACCGGCCCCTCCCTTCCTCTCCGTACATTATAAGTTACATAAATTTCAGGAACACAAAAATTAATAGTTTTAATATATTTTTAATTGTATTTTTGGACTAAATATATCCCCTCTATTATACTTTCGAACTAAATATGTTTTTCCCATTGTATTTTCGGACTAAATATATCCTTGTGACTAACAGAGGACACACATACAATTGACACACGTACGATTGATAGGAAACTCATAGGAATTCAAGAATATAGAAAATTATGTGCTCTATGACATGGGGCTATTCAAACGAAAAGCGCTAAAAAAATATCAAGAAAAAATTATCAATTTTATCATGATTTCGGGGAGCAAAAAATGGACTTGCCACAACCTTATCATGTCTCTATTTCTTGGACTCGAGTTTGACGTATCCAATACAAATGCTCAAGAAGTTATTGTGCCGCACTACAACATTATCTATTACTAGCTACAAAAGTTAAGCTACAAATTCAAACCGTGGCTATTATATAGTAATAGCTACAATAAATCTTTAATTTTTTAGCTATTTAAACATTTATAAATTTTCTTAGCCACAAAAATTAATTTGGCGAAGCAAAAATGGTTATTTTTATTACAATTGCTAATAATTGTGGCAATAATTATATGAATAGCTACAACTTTATTGCTACAATGTAATTTTGTAGCTGTTAAAAAAATTTGTCACACAATAAAAGTTAGTGTAGCAATAGAAACTTTTTAGCCACAATAAATTATTCGAAATAAGATGATGTCGCTAAATAAATACTTTTGCTTCAAGTTATAAAAATTTGTGGCAATAGTTAATTGATATAGCCACAAGTACTTTTTTATAGTAAAATTTTGTAGCTAATGATTAATTTTTGCCACGAGTTGAAATTTACTATAGCAATAATAACCTTTTAGCCACAATAAATTATTTAAAATAAATTATTATAGCTAAATAAATATTTTTGCTTCAACTTGTTAAAAAATGTGGCTAAAGGTAATGATAGAGGTATAGATTTACTGCTTTAATTAAATTTCGTAGCTAATTCTTTTGGGTCACACATTGAGATTTTTTGGTATGAAGGTTAATTATTTTATCCATGAAAGTTTAATTAAAACAAATATTATGGCTAAGTAAATATTTATTTTGCGTGCTAAAAAGCATGGCAATAATTGGCTCAATAGGTATAATTATTTGTCATGAAGAGATGATATAG